ATAATTAGCTAATTATTTTTACTAATTCTTCAAATAAATATGTTTAAACATCTTGTATGTCTTTAAACTAGGGGAGTCAATTCCTCTCAACTTTAAACTGGATCAGGGTGGGGAGACAAATTCCTCAGTCTCTGACCGCTAAACTTCTCGGGGGGAGGACCCCTGTCTTGTGGGACCTACTGATAACAAAAAACGAAACTAACATTGGTTCATTATGGTGAAAACTCTCACGATAAAATCCAAACACACAAAAAAAAACTAGCTGTACAGTTCAGTGAATTTATTAAACATATGGATGCATCCGTTGTGATTTCCCGGAAGCTTAAAAACTTAAAAGCGATCTGTTTAACCATCATAAAGTGGAGGAAACATCTAGTGTTGATCTTAAATTGTAGAAAAGGTCATATACAGACTAATGACGTGGACTAAATGTGTAAAAAAGCAGATTTTTTTGTAAAGTACATAATGTTTGGTTGTGCTCTTAAATGACTGAAACGTCAAGGGGGAAGCAGCTGGATGTCATAAGCTAACACCGTGTGTGTGTGTGGAGGTGCCAGGAAGGCAACACATACCAATCGGTTGAGTCTTCTCCGCAGCATCCTCTTTATCTATCTTCTTAATAACCTCGCAGAACAGCTGAACTCTTCTGATTCCACACGCGCCTCCTGGCTTCGCTTCTTCAGCTTCTCCGGGGAATAACTTTACATGTATGTTAGTTGGCGTGCTAGCTCCTTTAGCTATCTGTTTTCTACTCTAACGTTAGWTCTAGCTATATGAAATGCCGGGGCGACGCTACATCGTTTCCATTTCGTTTGATTTCGGTATCTTCGCACCATTCGCATTCTCTCCCCTCTGGATATTTTCCGCGTTGCGGTTGGGCTGTACTACTAGTAGTCGCGCTTCCCGTTGCTCAAGGCTGAGACAGTCGCTGACATTTCGCTCCCCGTGCCCTGTTGCTYACTCGTACGAATCATTTGTCGTTTCTCGGCTCTGCCTTTCCTTTCCGGTGACTCGGAGACTGTTCGCCACCGCGGGTAAAAAATWAAAAATTAAAAAAAAACTAACTTTTGTGGCGGCAGTCCCTGACTACAGGTCGCCTCACCTCCCTGTCAAACAATTTTCACTCCAGAAGCAGCAGCAGCCAGCCAGCCAGCCCAGCAAACCCACGGACGTTCCCACGTTCACAAGCTCCACCCGACCCGGCGAAGGTGCGGTGACTACTTTGGCCCGCGGTGCATTTTGGGTAATGAAGTCCAAACTTTGTTCGACACGGAAAGCGGTATGTGATCACGTTTTAGTTTGCTGAAAATAGCATTTTTCCCACCTTCTGAAGAGATGCGTTTAGAWTAGTCGAAATGTTTTCGTGTATCTCTATGTTAGCAAAATATCATAGATGGAATGATGGATTTTGATTAAGATTTCAGGGGAAAACAAACAAAAAAACAATTGGATATGCTTATGTAACTAATATTTGGAGCCACCTCTCAAGGCCAATACAAAAATGATAACTAGTCGTTTATTGGGCTAGGCGTTGGTGTGGTAGTAGATGAGAGTCATTTACAACTCAGCTAGAGTGTGACATCTTGTCACAAAAAACACATTCAAAAATGTGTTGAATATTAAGCCAAAGGTACGAGGCCTTTTTAAGATGCTTCTAAAGGCCTGTTTTCCTTTTTTACAATTGAGTGACCTTGGCAGCTTTTGCATGTGGTTCAGCATTTGCATATATTTTGGTAACCCCTGTATTCAAATGAAACAAGCAAGTTTCCGTTGAAAGCTGAGAAGAGCACAAAAAAAGGAAGTATGTTTAAAAGCAAATACTTTTTTTAAACTGTTGATATTAACAGGGGCATGAGCTTACTGTGAGGTGCCCATTTTTTAGGTTGTACATTTTATTTTAACAAACACACACAAAAAAACAAGAGATTTTATTCTTTTTTTAGTGGGAGTTGCTTCTAACACAACTTCTTTATCAAACATTTTGAGCTTAAAGCTGATRGACGCCTCAGAGTTAGAACGTTTGAAGGAACTTCCTGTCTTGAATTTATTGGTTTTAAAAATATGAGTTAAGGTGTAGTTCGCYGGCGTCAGTGGGAGACTTTAAATCAGATAACTATCATGATTACCAAATGTTTTAGATAAACTGTACTCACAACATGAAACCAGCTGCTGTCAGCGTGTGTGCATGCCTCAGTAAATGCTTTCACTGTGACCAAATCTGTTTGACAAGTTCAAATACTTTCTGATTAATTCACAAGACTAAGACTTTCACTTCAAATTAAAATTCATTTGAGGAGTTTCAAATATTGTTTTTAAGCTGCTGAAATAACCAGWTATAGAATGGGTTTTATTTTTAAACATATCACTATTCATTTTATATAAGGCCTTCATCACTTCAGCATCTTCAGTCTGCAGATTTTTTTTGACAATATTGTAGGGTCATGTAGGGTTAAACGTAAATGAATATTGTCCAAATCAATTTTTACTCATCAAAAGACACTAAAAAGAGAAGTGAGTGCATAACAAGGAAATTTCACATTACACCACACAGATATCTCTCTGTTACGCCAGTGCTGTTGAAAAATACAAATCTTAAAGTTGGGCTCGATCGCCACCTTGTGGCAGAATGAAGTAATGCACTTGTTGCTGYGTCTCGGTTAGTTTATCACCAGTTTACTTGCACAACTCCAACATACATACAAGGACGTAGCAAGTTTAAAGAAAGGTACAAACCATTTATCTCTTGTTTATAAAAAGGAGATATTCTCACAAAAATAAAATAAATTAAATAAAAAAAACATTTAAGAACTCACTTTTGGAAAGTTACAGTTTTGTCTCAAAATAAATATATAATTTTCAAGTTTTGGGGCTTTATTTTCAGTTTCAGTTTAGTTTTCATGTTGCCATGGACACATAATATGGTCCACAGGTACCATCAGCATTAATAAATGACTGAATGATATTTCATAAAATGACAAACATATCAACTAAATTAACATTAAATATGAATTGCGATAAAGAAAACAAAGCAGCAAAAAAGACAGAGCTTTTTTATATTCAAACTGGAGGATTTTTTTAAAATCACATTTTCTCATTTAATAGTTGTCAAAGACTTGATTTGTAAAAAAAAAAAAATAGACAGAAAACGAAAGAACTAAATGCAAATATTAGCAAAAATACGCTGTTCCTCTGGGTGTAGTTGCAMTATTTCACCAGTAGATGTCACCAAATCGTTAAGATTGAACTTGCAACAAACAAAATAAAGTTGATGAATTATTTGAAGAAAAAAAATCATAAATCTTTTTGTCATAGTGTAAATTAGGACACAACCTTTATTTGTTTTTCTAGGTTTTTGTGTGTGAGTTTGAGGAAGTGGAGGTTGCCTATAGAAGAGGTCTATTGTGTCCATTGTTTGGAGGAGGAAAAACTGAACTTCTTTTTGAATGAGTATAGAAACATATTCAGAAAATAAAAAACAAAAATGGACGCTCAGATGCTTTAAATACTACTAATAATAATTCTTAGGATGAATGTTTTGACATTCTACACCAACATACACTGTTGATAATGTATTATATTATTAATTATTATAAATCCACATGAATGCCTCACTGACAAAGAAAACTTCCTTGCATCTGCAAGCATACTTACTTGGTAATAAGGTTTTCTGAACCTGATTCTGATCAGAGGTGGGAGGATTTGCTTGTAATTTAATGTAAATCCGCATGGTGGTGACCCAGGAACATCTAATATACAGTATGTCACACATTTGTTGCAAAATAATAATAATAATAATAATAATAATGGTAATAATAATAATAATAATAATGAAGTGTAAAGCTGAAGAGCTGATCAAAGTTTCTCATATAAAATTGTATTTTATTTAATACCTGATGTCTGAGAGTTGCACATGACTAAACTATTACAAAACCTAGTAAAAAATAATGCAACTGAAGAACTGATAGTTAAACCAAACTGTGTGTCTTTTTAAAGTCAGATTTGGCTAAATTCAACATTAAATAGGATTTAAAAAACACTGACAAAAGTTTTACTCATAGATGTCAGTTTGGCCTAACAGCTCACAACTTTAGTGTGAGCTAAAGTAACTGAAAGAGAGCTTGATTTTTCTTTCAAAGTTCTGCAATTACAAATCRAATTTGGTCACAAGCATTTCAGACATTTTTTGTTCTTGTTGTTTAGGTTACTACAGACCTATAATAAAAACTTCCTGACCTGCTGATCGGTGACCACAGACAGCTAAGTTGGTGATCTTTCTTCTTCTTTGACCTTCAGATGGAGAAAACATTACTCTCTCAGTAAAGTGAGTAAATACAAACTCATTTTGAAACTTTGCTGATGACCCATCTGTGGRTGGTCTGATTTATAACAGTGATGAGATTGTTTATGAGGAAAATGTTTGCAGAATAATGTTCTAACAAATATAACAGTCTGCCTCTGAACTTCTCCAGAATAAAAGAGGTGAAAATTAGCTTTAACAGAATGAAAAGGCTTCTTTCTTACATATCAGTGAAAGCATGGTAAAAAGTGTCTTTATCAAATTCTCACATAAATTCCCTTGATATCTCCTTACATTGTATTAAAATCCCTTTTGCCTCAACCCATGACGATGTGCTTTATGGATGTTTCAAGTTACTATAAATCTCAATTCAGTCCCAATTTAAAATCCAGAATTTCCCCAGTTGTGTTATGAACTAAGTCGTGCATGAAAGTGTACAGTAGCTGGTGAGTTTAGGGGGCATTCCTCTGGTGGTTCTGCCCCTGGTCGTCTCGTTCGCAGCCCTGAATCCAAACTGACAGCCCCTGTGGAGGAGTCGGGAGACTTCCCCAGCCATCTGTCTTAGAGCGACTCCCCTCCTTCTCTCCCTCCACACATCCCTCATTCCCACACTGGGTCTTTGTCAGCAGTTCCTGTCCCTGGACTAGGCGTGGCGTGCGCAGAGGCTGGGGCGACCGTGGGTGCTTTCAGAGGCACCTGCAGCTGGGACAAAGGGCCAAGGGTGCTAGGGCTGAAGACAGATTGATGCTTTGTGCACTGAGGATGGAGAGAGAGAGAGAGAGAGAGAGAGAGA